ATATTATATATATAATTATATGAAGCAAGCATGCACACTGTACATGCAGGCGGCCCCGACTTCGTGTAATTTTTTATACGGTCGCATACGTACATGAACATTCAGTTTCTTGGTCCGTGGTGCCTTTGCCTGCCTGCGCGCCTGCCGTGTCTTTAGAAGCCCCCCAGTCGCATGCTTGGGGGCGATTGGTGTTTGGACAATTGTTTAGAGACGCAAAGGGCTTTTAAAGCCAGAGGAAGTTCCCTAGAGTTGCACGAACAGTGAAGCTTGAAGCGATGTGTACTTGCCACAGGTTTGACTTGGACCACGAGGAAGTTGTCATCCTCAGGGCAACCGCGGCCCGTTCGGCCCTGAAGTCTATTCTGAACAGAAACCTCATTCCTTCGCATATGTCTGAAGGCCTCTGACGCCTCCGCTCTCAGCTGTTCAACACCGGTAATGGGTTGTAGGGACCTCAACTGCACCCCCAGCCGAATGGGGTCCCCCATGTCCAGGAACAGGTGGTCCCAAAGGTGCAGCAGCAGCAACACTATCCTAGGGGCTATCCAGGGGTCAAGGAACCAGCTGCAAGGCCTCAGTGAGGCCTCTGTGTTGCGTGTGAGACTCTAACTGGCTTTATAGTATCACGTCTAGCGACAAGGGCCCCCGTGTAGCTTCAGATCCCCCAAGGTAGAGCCAATGAATGGCTCAGCCGGGATGGAAGCTTAGAGGGGTGGTTGTGGTGTTATTGTTTGTTGTACCTGTTGATTTGGGTGTCGATACCCACAAGATGATGAACAGATGAGATGTATTTCGTCTTATCGGCAAACGTTGCGCTTTATGCAACATCGAAGGGTACTTGGGCAGGGGGTTGTATTTTTGGTTTGGGTTAATTAAAGACAGCTTTGCAAAAAAGTAACCCTGCCTTAGATTCAGTACATAGATAGACACAAATGCAGTAGAAGTTGAGTGCATACACGCATGCATGAACGCTTGCTTGCATGGGTGCACTCGTGCACCCGTTCTCGTTCTGTAAGGTGCCTCGGGAATTTAGTGTTTCGATAGCTGGTTGTGGCTTTGTGCAATTAGTTTAGAGGGGGCCAGCAGGCATCCTATATTGAGAGGTGCATGCAGTGAATTTAAGGGTGAGCGCATGCAATAACAGAAGGAAAATTAGGGCACATACATACATGAAGGCAGTTTGAAGGCAATATTACGGCAGGCATATCTTCATCTTGTGGGTTGAGTGTTGGGCTTACTGTACACGTTTTGGGTTTACGCTGTAGCAGCTACAAGCCAGCACGAGTTCAAGTAAGGAAGAGAAGTTTAGGAGGAAACTACAACAACACAAGTGGGAAGGAGGACAGAGTGAACATAAGCTGTGCTAATACAGATGTGTAACCTCTAATATATGAGTAATATGCAAAAATAGTGCACCACGCTAACAGATCAACAGATCGTATATATTTTGTAAACGTGTAAGCACTGAAGAATAAGCAGCTAGCAGCAAGTCAATGCAAATACAGAAAACGCAAGTAAGTTTATGCATCGGGGGAGGAGAGCACTAACTGGAGGAACCTTCGTACAGCATAAACCCTTAGTATCACGTTAACCTAAACCTGTATTATCAGAACACTTGAGGCCCCCATTATAAAAGACTTCATAGGGTGGCTTCGACGAATACCCAAGGGCGCGCGGGTCTGCGCCGGCTGTGTGTGGGTACTGCTGGATTGACTGCTTGGGGATTCGGAGAAAGCACTCATTAATGGAATTTACTATTGGTAGTCATTAATATTACTGTAGTCATCAGCGATTTTGATGTCCCTCTTGCTTTGGTTTTGATGTGTCAGGGAGCAGTTGATAGAGACGGACTGTGGTTACAGCCTGTATTCCTCTACTAACCCGTATTCCCTTTCTTTTGCAGTGCCATTTAATGTTATATAACTTAATTTTACTTTGGCTTGATAAGCGTTAGCCTTGTGCTTCGCTCGCCAGAGGTCTATATTATCTATCACCACAAGACATATGCACCTGCATGCAACGCATGCATGCACGCGCTCACCATTCTGTGTAATCGCATAAGCTGCAGACAACCAAAAACCAGCAGTGAATGCAAGTGGTCTCCTCTCGAGTGGTCTCCTCCCTCCTGCTGCAGTCCAGCAATGTTCTAGGATACGTGTCATTAACTCTTCGTGCGCATGCACGCACACTGCACCTGTAAAGTCCTGCATCTGTAACGTGTTGCAATGATGTTCCTCTGCAGTCAGCCAACCGGTGAGTGCAGTAGCTGCTGTGTTGCTGGAGAACCAGACACCTCCTTACATTGCCGCTATTATGCTGAGCCCGTCTACAGAACAGCAGACAGCCACATTCTTAACCAAATCTACGTTCGCCAGTGTTGTGAACTGCAAGCAAGCTCCGTGTCCATGACTTGCTCAATCGTTGGCTTGCCGTGGAAACAAAGGAGAACGCACTAGGTTTCTCTTGTTGCTACCGGCGTTTTAATAACTTTGGTTTCGAACCGCCAAAAGAGTGTGTCTGGAGTCTTTGTCCCTCGTCAGCAGCTCAAGCACATACGCCGCCTCTACTTGAAGGCCGCCGAGCCCGCTCCCTAATCTGCAGGGAGGAGCTGCCGCTGCGGCTGCAAACACCCTCAACATGAAGGCTTATCACCCACCAGTATGTGGCCCCTTAAGAACTGTACATTCACAATGTTCACCCACAAATATGTAGTGTGCGTACACTGAAGATGTGCCGCACGGCCCGCATCGGGTGGGTATCCCTGAGGTGTCTGCGCATGCACCCACCCTCCTGCTCTGCAGTCTACGCACAGCAACATCTGCTACAAGAAACAGCTGTTCTGGTGTAAACACGCATGCAGGTCTTTGCTTGTCTGTCTCTCCTCCTCGAGGCGGTAAGCCCTGACAACCACTGGCGGCTAGAAGAGGACATTCATAGAGCAAAGCCTTCCACCGGCGAATGGGCGTGAGGCCTTTCTTCCCCTCTTAACACCCGACAAAGCTCCCAAGGAGGGGAAAGGCTGTTGTTGTGCGGCATGGACACAGACAAACAAACGAACAAAGCATATATGTGAGTGTGTCCTTCTGGCTCTTCCACCGCCTTCCCACTGTGTCGTTCTGCGGTGAGTTCACTACACACAGACCGTAAAAACCTGTTGAGTCATCCCTTCCGTTCCCGTTCTTAATCGGACAAATACCAAACCCAATCGAGGAAAACTCACACACCGGATGGCCCTCCCCACTCCCTGCAATTCTCAAACGCTTGACGAGTGAGGCGAAAAGATTGCATGCAGCGACACCCATAACCAAATTTGCATGCAACAATGCATGCAAGCAAACTCATTGCATACATAGCTGCACTAGAACTTGCTGCTAGATGTCCGGAGAAACAAACTAACCGCTTTGGCTGTATGCAAGCACCGCACCTCGCCCTCGACCCCCACAGCAACCCCTACCCCGTCCAAGCAACCCCAAACCTCTCCAGAATACCAAACTTCTCCAATGCTGCTCCTGCGAGGGTCAGGGCTGATACCCAACTCTACCCCCCTACTTAAATGAACAAAACACCAAAACCTGAGGGGTGACAAGGATCGACTGTCGCAATGCGCTGGGGCATGCACTTTCCTTTAGCGCTTTCTGACGCTGCACAGCATTGCGCAACAGCTGCAGCTGCAGCATTTAAAGCATCTCCAGCTAGTAGAAAATCCAGGAGTGCATGAAGCGTGCTGGTGTCGTTGTGGAGGCTTATAAACTGTCGATGTCTGCTCCGTCCGCTTCGTCGTCGACACGTGAAAGCTCCCTTAGTTGCGGTTCTTCTACCTCTCTCCTCCTTTCTTGAGCCTCCTCCTGCTTCTTGCGTGCCTGCTCCCTCTCCCATGAGTCTCTACTGGCGTATTTCAGCACGTGTTCTGGAGAGGAAGGACAACAGAAAATTCACACCATGGCTGCAATGGCTGTCCTGCGCTGCACCTAATGAGGCGTTCATGAGTTAGGTTGTTGGGATGAATGCACTTTATGCACGGTTGCAACCACAAACGCTCTTCCGCAGACCTTTCATGTGTTTCATTAAATAGCGACACAACGAAAACAACGAAGTAAAAAGACCGCGGGCTGTCGTATGTGTGCAAGCCATCGAGGCAGCGACACTGGCACTGGCAGACAGACCTTTTACTTTCTGCTCGTACTGCGCCTTGTCTCTGTTCAGCAGAGAGGCAGCTTCGCTGTTCAAAGGGTCTTGTGGATTGGGGTATGTCAGCAGCTGCGGCAAAAATACGTCGAATACGTTCACCAAACCTGCGTATCAACAGCAGCGCAAGACCCCAAGAAATGTATGGACTCAGACAATACTCGGCGCAACAAGTATAAGAAATGAAGCGGAAGATGTATACGGCAGAAAAGGAGACCCATTTTGTAAATGGGGGGTGCCCCAGACACGGGAAAATACAGAAGCTCGAAGGAAGGCAATGCAGATTTGAAACTGAGAAGGAACGGTAAATGAGGGAAGACAAAAAAAAAGGAACGATGTGAGGGAAGACAGAGGGAGGCACATATGCAATAAACGGACCACCACTGCTCGCATCCTAAAGGCAAACGGCAAACAAGCTGAATCGATGAACCACATCAGACAGAAGCAGAAACCATGAGAACGAAGGACCAGTGAACCAGACGGCAAGAGCCAGTATGGCAGAGTCCTCAACATAGTCACCAAGAGGGAGGAGAAAATACATGGCATGATGTGATGTGGGTGCAGCAGCTGCCATGCAGTCCGCAGACACCTACTGTAGAGAGGGGTCCACGTCTGGTTGATGACATCAAGACAAACGGATCCAGATGCTTCGTCGACGTTGGGATGAAGTATTTTATTCAAAAAGCCGATAGACGGAGAAGAAAAAGGATAATCATCGGGCAGAGTTACATGCACCCTCCAGACGCCTCCTTCGTATATAGCTGCACACACATAGCGACACGAACATATAAAAAACAACTGCGTAGCCCGAGACATGAGTGGAAGGAAACGCGAGAGGAGAACAAGGGACATAAAGCAGGTGTCTGTTGCCCTACAAATAAGCACAACCCAACTAAGGAAGATACTCGAGAACACCGGCGCTCACTCTCTTTGGGGCCGTGGAAGACGACGTTGAAGTCTTGTGTGTTCTTGTTATTAAGTTCCAGATCATAGCCTGCCATTAGCCTGTCCATACACATATCACAACTGATATCCTGCTTTCTACTCTTTTATATAAACGAATGGCTCCATTCCTGCACAGTTGATCATGCATCCCATCGTCTGCACCACCATCAAGGTGGAATTAGCAGTCCTGGTGACTGTCCGTTTCGGAGTTCCGTCCCTCCTGCGTAGGAACGGATGACGGAAAACAGCTATCGAGCACGACCAAGGCGCTCAAGAGAACGTACAGCTTAGCGAAGTCGCACTGCTTGCGAGAGGAGGAGATCTGCGCCTGAGTCATCTTGAGGTATATTTGACAGAGGAAGCACCAGAAACGCAGATAAGGGGGCAGCCCCTGAAAATGCCCTGATGCATTTCTACCTAAAATTGGTTTTCTACTGCAAGGGACCCTCCAAGAAGTGCACTTGTGGGGAGAGAAGACAAGAAAAAATATAAAGGAACCAACCAAGAAACAGCTGCGCCACCACACAACAGACCACCGGTTACTAGTACATGGGCGTTTTGGGAAGTCGTACACCTCGCAGCAGACCCGCCCACGCAAGTAGCAGAACGGTGCTTCAAACGCAGAACACGCACACCCGAGGAAGCAGCAAACAGTAGCAGAAAACTGCAACGCAAAGAAGGATACGTAACCAAACCAAACACCCAACCAACTCACCCAGGGCTTGCTTGTTGCACGCCGCACGACAGCACCCCAGCAGCAGCAGCCCCCAGGGTGCTGCTGCTGCTGCGGTGGTGCTGCTGCAAAGCGGGCTTCCTGTCAGCAGGCACTAGCGTGTAGAAAAACTGTGCAATCTTCTGGGTTTTCACTTAGTACTTCATTCGTGGTAGATTTTGACTAAAAACGCAAGTGCAGTAATCCTACCTCCGCACGTGCCCGGATGGTGCAACCCCTACTTTTGAGAAGCAGCCCGATGCGCTGCGGTTACATGATGGCGCCCAGACAATTCAGGAGGCAAGCACGTCTTTAAAGCGTTCTTATACTTTTTAATTCTATTAAATGTTGCGGCAGCAATAAGCGAAGTGACACAGCGCTTGTTGCAGCAGAAGTAGGTCAAGGTACATCACGCGGCTGCTGCTCGCAGCAGACCCCACGTCCTGAATTCACTAGCTAAGCAATGAAGGGAGAAGAAGGATGGACGAGTCTTCTTCTTTCTTCTACTCCATTCAGTACATGTGAATGGCTACTTAATTTGCCATTAAGGCTTTTTATTAGCTATTCGAGACACTGCTTCTGCTGAATGCTTGGAATGCTGTTGACCGTGTCGTGCGGTGGTCAGGGTGTGCTGGAACCTGAGGAAGACTTGCCGTTGCTTGGGACGCCTGTCGTTCTATTAAATTCTGTAGTTTTCTTCAGTCGATTGAGTATGTTGATATTCAGCTCAGCTTTTAATTGATGTCCCCATTTTTAGCCCAGGATGCATGGATTGCTGCGTTGAGAGCAGCTGGGTGGAGTGCAACCACCGAACCGTCCGTCGTAGAGGTTTGGCGTCATGTGATGCGGTCGGAGGCTTTGACTTTTGCGGGAATGTTCCTGGTTCTCTTTAAATATGGTACCGGCAATAAAATCCAATAAAAGTTGTATAATTGGCCACAAAATAAACCCGCAAGACCACCCACCCACCTGCTGCGCTTCGCTAGCCACCGCCGCCTGCAGCAGCAACTCAAACAGGCCGATGATTTCAGCGTAGCTGACGGCGGCGAGGCTGCTGACCAGCCTCTTTGCATTGTGTGTAGCGGTCTTCTTTAGGATTTCAATTTGTTCTATTTATTTGCAATTCCCTCAAGGTATATACAGCCCTTTTAGAACAGCTCGCGGCGCGCACTTGAGGCCAACACCCATTGTCGGCAGCGGACGCAAGTTGAACAGGCCGCGGGTGTAGCGCTGCGCTCTGTGCTGTGCTGCAGAGGGGTGAAACGCTGTTGTTTTTCGTCTATCTGGTTCCTTTTTTCGCCTCTTCTCCTTTTATTGCTTTATTTTCAAAATGTGGTTCACAACGCGCCAAGAGGGCCTCGATGACCCCAGACCGGCCATGCGCGGGCCCTGCCTCGATCTGCCTACAACCGTTTTCTGCGGCGGAGTTGGAGGCAACAGCTTTTTGCTGCGAGGAGGGTTTCTGCTGCAGCTCTTCTCTCTCACGGGCCTCTTCATATCGTACTGGGCGTCAGGGGGCGCTGGCCTCTTTGGCTACGAATTGCAGGGTATGAACGAGGTATGCCTTTTGTTCGGGTACTCTTCATTGGACGTACACTGCAAACGACAGATGCAGAAATTTCATAGCAAACCTCAGTCTGCTGCATATTTGGACGCATGCAACGCCTACAAACCGTTTGCATTTCTCCTTGCCATCCAGGGAAGGATCAACGCCAGCTGCCGCAGCATTGGGCGACGATGCAGCAATTCACAAAGACACACTGTAAAACCCAGTGCTTTCGGTTCATCAACTAATTTGAATGCTCATGTACTTCAATGACATGTGCATTCGTCTTTCATTTCTTTTCTTCCTCTTCCTGCTGCTGTCGCTGCAGGCCGCAAGGAGTTCTGAGGGCCTCCATACGGCCCTTGCCTTCTTTTCGGGTCTTTATATGTTAGGTGCTGCTTATCTGGTTTGCTTCCAAGCCATTGCGGCAGATGACGCCTGGTACGTAGAATCGTCGCAGTGCCTCCAGGGAACCTGGAATTAATATGCACATCAACCACCTGAGCTGTTGACGACTCCCTTCTCAAACTGACCCCGGAATATGCAAACATTCTTGTTGTGCGCTTAAGTATGAATATAGAGATGATAATATATATGATCACATGTATGATTTTGTTGTGCTGCGGTGTGCGTGCAGCTGGGCAAGGGGTTACCGTTCGGGCAGCAAGGTTCTTCGTCTGGCGACTTTCTTGGATTTGCTGAGCAGCGTGATGCAGTTTATCTTCTTCTTGTACATCGCCAAGTTTTACAAACCCAAGTGGTATTTGCAATTCAAGGAAGGGGGACCCGAGTGTCTCTTCTTCTCTTATATCCGTTGTTTGCATGCTGTCTGCCTCGCGTTGTACGGGGCCGCGACTTATCTTTTGGAGGTTTACCACGATGAAGGCGCTGGAGATCTGCATGCGTACATTAACTCCGCCCTTTTCGGTCTCGCATCGCTTGTTGGTAAGTTCGAATCTACACAAGCCTGCATGCAAAGCGTGGCCCTAGATCGTGGGCTCTACAACCCCGCGAAAGTTCGCAGTGCATGCACATGGGGTCTGTTGAAATCTAATCTACTGAAATTTGCTTGTGCACTATACGTAATATGCTGAACTGCCACTCGTTTGCTTCCCTCTTTTGCTGTGTTGGGTGTTGCATGCTCGGCCTTGTTTTTGCTGTTTTCTCAGAGTTTTGCGTGCTGTTCGTCCCTGTGGGTGGGGCGTCTGCGTTGACAATTTGGCTGGCGTTGCTGGCAGCTGCTATTTGGGCCGTATTCTTCGAACCAGAGGTCAACAACGTGTCTCCTGCACTGCACGAGACCGAGTTAACCAACGATGTCGAGCAGCAGGTGGAAAAATTTGCGCGTCTGTCTCCCTACTACCCTTCAGGAGACCCCAGCGGCCTGCAGCAGCAGCAGCAAGCTTCACCCTCTCCCCACGCCAGCTTCTCCCAAGCCCCCAGCCAGCAGTTTCTCCCCCAGGCCTCAGTTGTCGCCCAAGCCTATGAAACGGAGGGCCGACAGCGAAGCTGAATTTGGTTTAGCCAGATGATATCCATTTAGGCAGTCACTTAGGCGACCGACAGTGCAGGCAATCAAAGTAAGAGACAGCAACTAATGCACTTACTGCACAGCTTCACAACGTGCGCTTTAGTGTTTAGGGTTTCGGGTTCTAGCTGGGTCCATCCCCCACAGCAATTGCCCACAAACCCCCTGCATACGTGCAACCATATTTAGATTTATGGATTTAGAGGCGTGTATACGTATACATACACTAACCAGGTGTGTGTATGCCTGTACACCCGATAACAAACATTCGCGTCTCTGGCTTTACTGCGAGACTCTGGCGTTTACCTTCAAAGGTTCGAGAACAGCGACAGACAGACAGTAGCACCTTCTACAAAAGCATATTATACCAAACTATGTAGTACTATGTATGTACTATGTAGTAGGTGTATAGCTTGATTCAAGCGGTTCTACGAAACGGTTAAAAGGTAACCATCAAATACAGCCGGTCGACAGCTGACGTTCCCAATTCTCTGCTGATTTTTATGGGGGCAGGCAGCGACAATCCATCTTAAATTATAATGGAAGCACATGCTGCATAGGTACAGCAAGTGGATTAAGGCAGAAAGGCAGACGGCCCCCAGAGGAGCACTACCACCTTTGGCAGCTATTCCGCTTTTCATGCACGAGATAAATGCAGATAAAGAACATCTGGACACGGAATTCTAGTATTGATTTTCCCCTTCTGGTGTTTAAGCTTGTTTGGTGGGGCAGAAGAGGAAACGCAGGGAGATGCTTGCTTCTCTTCGTTGGAATAACCCAATTTCCAATAATTTTTGCACAGACTCACCGCCAGTAGCCCTACATACTATTTTCTACTGTGAAGCTGGTGTGCCGGTACACGGATCCTGAAACATATCTACGACACTGGGAAGTGCTCGTCTGCTGGTTAAGCCTGCAGCTTTGTTTGCTCGGCTTTGCTTTTCTGCTTCGTATAGCATCTACAAGCGAATAGCAGAATTTATGGTGTAAGCGTATAAAAGAGGGGATGGCAAGCAAACAAAGATATAACCCGACGAAGGAAAAAAGAAGAAGCACAAGATAAATGTTCATTATGCTCTCGATTGATTGACGGTTTCTGCATTGAAGGCAGCCGGAAAATCGGCGGCGCCCTGCAGGTGTTGTTGCACAGGGGGCCAAAGACTGCTGCCTCCTCACTCCCTGTTCCGTTTTTATCTTCGGAACAATAAAAACATACGACGAGCCTTTGCTCCTCTACGGGCTTGAGCTTTGTTGCTGCTGACAGGAGTTGCGTATGCCCTCACTTTCGCCGGCAGCCTCCTGTTTTTCCTGTTGCAGCGTCTGCTGCAGCTCCTCACTGTGAAAGGCGCAGCACGGTGGGGGAGAGGGGCGGCTTGGAGGGTTGGCAACTGCGTTTCGTTCCCATTCTCTGGGGCATGAAAGACCGTACGAGCGACCTTGTCTTTTGCATGCTATTTTTGCGGCTGCTGCTGTTGTTGGTAACACTGCTGCTGCTTCCCCCGGGAGAGGCATTCCTACCTTGCTTACAGCCTGGGTGGCGCCTGCTGTTGCTTCCTGAGGTGGTTGAGAGGGTTCTGCAGTGATCTCTTCTGCTTTGCGGTTGCTGCAGTCTGAGCAACTGCTGCTGCTGACGCCTATGGTGCTGCTGCTGGCGGGTGTACGCCTCTTGCGCAGAAACTCGAAGGCATGACGGACGCGAGCGGCAGAGCAGTGCCGCGGAGGGGCCTCCAGCCTCTCAGGGGCCACAACGGAGAGTTGAGAGAAACAGCCCCTTCTCACCCACTGGGGTTGTCCTTGGGCATCGAGGGTTTCTTCATCGCACGAAATTACGTGCATCAGAGATGCATGTAACTCGTTCAGTTGCTGCAGCAGAAATACCAGCAGCAGCAGGAACATGAACAGGCGAGGGTAGACAGGAAGGAGATAAAACAAACAGAGGAAACAGTGAGAAGCGGCTGGTGCGTGGGCGTACACCACAGGATGCACAAGGTTTTCGTACATGCAACTCGCGGTTCAAAGAGCAGGTGAAACAGGAAACACAACTCGTATGCAACACGCTAATGAGAAGGTCATGCAAGACAACCATCAGCTAAGGCTGCTACATCGAGCTCTAGAACGGAAGGGAGCAGAGCAGAGAACGATAGCAGCAACAGAGAGGTGGCAGCAACAGCAGCAAAGAAAGCCGCATCAAAAGCAGCAACATTAACCGCAGCAGCAACAAAACAAAGGAACAACAGAACGATAGCAATAACAATAAAAATGCTAGCAGCAAAAATAAAGCACTGGCAACACCACCAGCAGCACGAGGGTGCGTACAGCTATGAATCGCATGGGTGTCTGAGCGGCGAATCGGGGGTCGAGTGGATCCCGTAAGAACAGGAGTTTGGCGAATTTGACGTGGCCTGCGAAGTGTCTGGCCACTCTACATGCAGCATGTATCTCACAAACTTGATCCCCTGCACTAATTAAATCGCATCGCCAATCCAAAGGTAGCGGATCGAACCCTCGCGGACTCTCACTTGGGGAAGGCAATGGACTGCCCTCAACCGCACACACCTCCGCCATCCCTGGCACTTCTCCTCCGGTTGGCGCTGCGGCTCCTGCTGCTGATGCACTTGCTGCTGCAGCTGCCTTTGCAGCCTCTAGCTGGCTTTGCAGACTTAGTCGAGCCCTGCCTCCACCAGAAGCACAAACAGAGGAATCAACACACGAAGAACCTCCCCCTATCTCTCCTGATGCTACTGCTGCTGGTCCTCCTGCTGTTGCTTGTGGTGTTTGTAATGCTGCTTCCACTTGCGCCGTTGATGTGCTTGATGAGACCTGCGCTTCTGGGGGACGAGGGCAGTAGCACAGGCATGGTGCAGATGATCCTGGCTCCATATGCTGGTCTTGCAGCTGCAGCATCGGCTGTTTCAGAGGTTGCGGTCGCGAACTACAGGTCTCTTCAGTTTCCGCTTTGCCACGAGAGCGGCGGGAAGGCACCGTCAACGGTGCCCCGTGAATGTCACTGGAGCCGGCCTGCAAATCAGAGCCCTCAGCAATGCACCACTTGCAGCCTTCAGGTCCAGACCCCCTGCTGCTGCTACAATCAGCTTTTAGGGGGGGTTCTGAGTGCACAGCAGTGCGCGCGCGCTTGCAGAAAGGAGGCGCAGACCGTCTGTGTGGAGAACATGGCCCACGTTCTTTTTGGGGGCCCTCATAGGTGCCCCCGTAAGGGCCCTCGCCACTAGCTACAGAGGACCCTGCCTCCTCTGTGTGTAGTGCCCCCTGCAGAGGGATGGGAGTTTGCCGAAGCAGCGCATTGAGGTATCGCTGCACAACGAAGTCAAATTCATGGTACTGCAGCAGCAAAACACAGAAGACAACAGCGTAGGCCTCCTAGGGTGTCTTGGAGGCTGCAACAATCACCGACCCACGTTTCTGTTGTCGTCCGTGTGCACCCACCCATGTACTCCACCAGCAGCAGTACAAACACCAGCATCAGCGGCACATGCAACAGCTGCATGCTTGAGAGAAGCGCAGGGTTAAGCTCATGGAAGCACGGATGTCACCTTGAGTGCAGTGTAGAATTCGCAGAAGGCTTCCTCTTCTGCCATAGGCGGAATTGGGCCAACGCGTCCTGCGAAGTGTTCTGTGGAGTGTATGTACACCTTTTCCCTGTCGCAGAGTTCTTTGAGCTCGGGGAGGCAGAGACGTAGATAGAACTCCTGAACAGTTCTCAGGCCCGCGTTGGTGACAATGACAATTTGCGTGTGTCGGCGCTGCCTCAGCTTCCGCAGGTCGTCAAAGAGGGCTTCCAATGCCTCCACCAGCGCCGCCTGCTCGAGGCCCCTACGGATGCAAGCCACAGCTTGCTGCAGCCCAAAGTACAGCTGCACTTTGCGCCAACATGCCATTATCCACCCTGTAGGAATCAGCGTGTTGTCTAAGTCCAACAGCACCAAGCAAGGACGCCGAGGACCTTCTTCCTCTCCCCTCGCAACGCCTGCTGGAACCGTTCCTGTAACTCGTGGTCCCCCAGGAGCGAGCACAGAGGGGTCAGGAAAAGCAGGGCTACTAGTAGATCCTGCAGGAGCAGAACGAGCTTGAATTGGCACAGAAGGAGGCCCCATGGACACAGTAGCGTCCTCCTGCTGCGCTCTAGAAAACCTAGCGCCGGCTGCGTCCGCCGGATGTGTCGGCACAGGTTCTTCGCAGGTGGAAGGGCAAATCTTGCGGGCCCCGGGGCTCCTTTCAACATCGGAAGGGAAGTTTCGCAAACCCTCTTCGGGGTGCCCCAAGCCTTCCTCTTGAGAAGACAGTGCGCAAGGGGAGGAGGCAGAAGCAGAAGGATGCCAGCAGGAGTGCGCCTCCGACAAAGGCAAGGGCCCTCGGTTTCTCTCTGGAGTATCGCCGTCTGGTAGGGAGCAGGAATCCTCACCTACACCCAGAGGCGCCTCTGAGGGAGGGGAGTCCCCCGGGGGGCTCGCTTCCCAGCGCCTTGTCCCCCCAAAAGGCTGGGCGAGTTCCCCGTAAATCGGACGCATCCACTGCTCAAAGGAAGAAAGAGGGGATTCATGAGCCCCAGCGCTGCTGGGGGCCTTGCAGTGTGGGCTGCCCACAGGGAAATCTGCTGCAGCAGCTGCAGCAGCTTCGACCTCACGGGCTTCATCCAAGGTTCCCAAAACCCCTAGGAGTTCATATCCTGCCGGAAAGGGGTTGGAGGAGAGAGAGGGTCCCAGGACCTCCCGAGGCTCGGGAGTTGGGGGGCCGGTGCCCGAGGGCGCTCTATGCGGAGGCAAGAGGTCCCCCTGTGTATCTTCAGCAGGACCCAATGGAACACCCCCGTCGGCACGTTGCACCATATCTGAAGACCTGCACCACCGTCTTTTAGTTTTAAGTGTGTTGCCTGCTAGCAAGCAGATTTTGCTATCGCTGTGTTTATGTTGGGGTTTAACTTTGACTTAAAGGGCAACTTACGCCCAAGAGTCCCCTGAAAACCAGTGATGCTGTTGATCGCCGACGATGGAAGATGAATACTAGGTAGGGCAGGCCTTTTCCCATCCTCGGAGCACATGCAGGACGCACCAGCCAGAGGCAGCAGTATATATGCAGCTGCAGTAGCACCAGGATTCATGCAGCTGCAACGGGAGCGCGAGTTTAACCGGAACTGGCAGAGGAGTTGCGGATATTCTTCGTGCGAAACAACAACTGGGCTAGCGCGTTCGGCCCAGATAACATTTTTATAAACGACAAGTGCAACCGCTGCAGCTAGAAACGCCCTACTCTGGAGGCGAGTCTACACCGCGAAACCTTGGGCTGCTTCCCGTAGTTCGAAAAGGGACACCTGGAAGAGAGCTCGAGAGAACGCATACAGCTCAAAAGAAGCGGCTTCTCAGGCTGGTCGAACAGCCTAAGACAGAGGCCCCGTGTAAGGGGTGCTGCCACCTTCGTGTGCGCGTAAAGCAGTCTACGGGCGGAAGGAGGCGGCGCTCAAGGCAGAAGGAAATATGGAAATAAACAGCTTTAAGTAGAAGGTTGAGTGCACTTTGCAAAGGGTTTTAAAGCGTGACGTAGGGGGGCGTCGGTAGCTGTTGCAGAGGGGAGGGTGGCGGTTCTGCTTGCTGGCTAACGTGAGTGAGAACATCGAGAGAAAGCGGCAGCAACTGGAAGCTTTCTTTCGCTAAACGAAAGGAAATGAAGTCATTTCATGAATGAAATGACATTCCTTCGACAAATCTTCTCTACACAAGAGGATCGCGACGTGTTCAACTTCGGCCACACCGTAGCCGAGCTCGACGGTCAACGCAGGCGCACACCGCCATCAAAACCCACAGCTATTGCGATTTCCCGCTCATTACCGGCTTTATACCCCCCCTCCTTGCTAAATTAGTTTTATTTCAAAGCTTTTAATCCCAGCGTTTCCATCCACAGATACTTCGGAGAATGTGCCACCACCGCGCGCTCATCTCGGAGGTACTACTGCGGCAGAAGAGCGGTGCCTTCAATCAAGACGGTGGTAAATGCCCCCCAGCTACGAAAAAAATGCAATACATGCTGTTTTTGTGAACATTAAAACTATAAAAACTTCTTAATGCTGATGTTTAGAGGCGTTAATCCGGGGGTTGTGTGTACACACAGCGCCACAGTCACCGCCGACCAATCCACCATCGTGAGCTCATATCCTAGCCGCAATAGCCCACGTTCGTGTTTTTATTGAACAGGCCAGCTTTCACGAAAGCGCAAAAATTTAAAGAAAGCACTAGTATACCTTTGCTAAAGCGACTATTCTGCCGGAAGAAACGAGGCCTTTCGATTCCCGAACGAACGGCACAACTGCATTTTCTTCTGCTTTGAGTCCGATTCTCTGCCTACGTAGATCACGCCTTTACCTTTTTTATTCTAAGGGGGAATACATGTACGCTGCATCCAGCTGATCGGAATCCACTCCTCAGTAGAGTTTGGCGCGGGTACACCAGCAGTCAATTGCTGGTGGCTGCCCTCCGCGGTCTTAGACAGATTTCGCCTCTTGAGCATTTTGCAGTGTCCTCTGGGCATCTACTTTCCATAAGGATTGCTAAGTTAAGAGCTTGTAAAAGGTCTGCCTCCCCTCGCCCACACCCGAACTCTTTGATTGCTGTGTCCCCAATCTCGACAGTGGAGCCCCACTCCAAAGTCAACAGAAGTGCAGTAGTCAGGGAAGCAAATGCCAAACTACCGATACTCTGTGGTTCTCCTGTGCATTTATCTATCCTGATGCCATGATATCTGGTGGCTGGTTAACATTCTACTGTTGAGTGTTACATCCCTCCTTTTAAAATCGGTGCAAACTGCATGTCTTGCGGAGAGGAAATGGTGGACATGCGTCCGTATCTGCTTGCACTCCATTGTTTATTTGAGCCTTCTTGTCTGCATTATGTGGAAGTGGAGCCCCCAGAACTGCCTCCTGTCATGCAACGCCGAGTATTGCTATGCGGCTACCGGAAACTGTATACAGCATAGGATACTACGTGGTAATCTCTCGCAGCACACGAGTGACTCCCCAGTGACTCCCCCTGTACTAGTAGAAGGGGCCGACGTTCTTAGAATTTCTTCTACAAAATAAGCATACACTACAAATTGCAGCTTCTGCAGACGCTGTCAGATTGCAAAAGCTGCCTCTACTGGGTAGGCGTGGCGTGAATAAAACTGTCAGGGCTTCTTCTTCCCGGTTTATCTGCATTCAACTGCAAATGCAACTGTAAATGGCATACTTATCTCCTGTCGGCTGCTCCTCTGCTTTCTGCTTCTGCTAGTGAGGACTCTGTTCGCGCTTTCTTTCCCCCTTTGTCACTTTGGTTGTACATTTGTGTGTTGCTGTTCTCAAATCGATGCCTGTAATCTACTACTGTGTCTCTGCTTCCGCTTCTGCCGCTGTTTTTTCTCTCTATGCCTCGGAAGTAGGTGAGAGCTGCAGGGCGCTGCTAAAGGAGAGCGACAAAGAAACGCGCCAAGAGTTTCCGTTTGTGGATCTGTTGTTTGCCGAGCAAAACAAAGGAAGCCAACAACAACTGTGCAACTAAAAACAGTGCAACAGCAATACGTCGTATGCAGCTACAAAGTCAAAAGCTCGACGAAATGGCAAAAGCGCCAACGCAACGCGTCTCCCTACACAATATCCAGACGGGGCGCACAAGAAATTTCTTCAAGTGTAGTTCTTCACACACGGTATATCCCAGGGCCCGCTAATTTCGCTGCAACCGGACACAACCGCAGCAAATCCACATAATATCTGCACCAATGGCCTATACTGACACCCCCAATAACGAGCAACGAACAGCAACAAACACAGGTAGCACAGCCGAACAAGAGCAACCAACGAACACCGCAAGCTGTTACATCCGCAATAACGACAACGGCGGCACCATCAAACAGCACGGCCGATTTAAAGGATTTGTTCCGGTGCGTCTCTCACTTTTTATACTTCTGAGACCGTATGAGCCAATAGGGCCCCACAAATGTAATGAAGAACATCCTGCGCAACCAAAACCGCCAGGTGTGACAAAAGCAAACCGTAGATCCTAACCCATGGACTGCTGAGGAACACTAGTGCAACACACAAGGCGAGGAGTAAGGCATTTGAATGCGTTTGTATGCTCACAACAAGAGGTACAGCAGCACATTGCTGCCGGATCCTTCGAGATACACAAGAGCAGATGTCAGTAGAATGAGGAAAGGAGTCACAACGTAGGTGCAGGCCCACGAACTCCACAGCTGCATACACCAAAGGCGCAGCAATGCTGCTGAACAGATATTCAACCAAGGGCTTCGCAGAAGATGTCATGCTCGACCGGCTTTTCAGAAACGAAGACACGCAAAAAGTGATAGGCTTAAAGGGGCCTTCGACGCACCAGCAAATAACGGCGTGCCATCGGCGCCAGAGCAAAAACCCTGCAGACAATCGAAAGCAAGCAGTAATTCCGAACAACTGCCAAGTATTCCCTCCTATTACGTGTCTGCGTGTATGTGTTCACGCACGTATACATATGCACATACAAGACAATACGCATATACAAGAATACACGCATATATGTGATAAGTGTGCGCCTATGCGCGTGCACTTAGGCACATACACATCTCGCGACCGGTGGCAACTATCAGACACCTGTATGATATGGGGTATGATGACCTCCAAATCTGACAAGGAGGAAGAGAGCAGCCCAACTGGCAGAACCCGTCCCACGGCTCATCCTGCTCCAGTGTGTCTGTAGAGTGCATGCCCGACTGTCTTATTCGATTGACTGCACACTGCTTGAATTTGCTGTATTGCCTGCCCTCTTCTGGCATGGGTGCACTCTATGCGTGAGCTTGAGTGTTTGTACTGGGATTCACTGCGAGGCGTACTCAATACCAAAAAAGAGGAAAGCAAACACTTCGGTGGAAGTGCTCAGGCGAGATGCGAGCAAAACATTTGCAAAAAGGGCCACATTTAAACTCATGAGGCGCCCCAAAGGCTCGTCAATAGTCTCGGGGTTCCTGGAGCAGAACAGCAGCAGACCACGACAGCACTTGAAAATACAAACACATCCACAGTGCATGCATGTGCAGGCACATTTGGCTGCATGATTGTCCAGGGAGCCTCACCGGTAGACGTAGGAGTAATCATTGAGGGGGATATGAATCAACAGGCAAACTGCAGCAACACCCGACCCTCACATAAACAATAAGGAGCATCCGCCCATGCATGCATGCATATAAACAGAGGTGCATACACCCTTTAAACGTACGCATCATACTTGCACACACATGTGCAGGTGTATGTGAATATATACAACTATGCATATATAGTTGTGTATATTTATGTACATGTATATGCTCATGGATATACAAACGCATGGTCGTTCGCATATGCACTAGGCTCACGCCACCAAACATGGAGGAAAACCTGCAACAAGAGAGGGGAAAACGGCAAGGAGCATACTCTAGATACTGCCACGGTGTAGGAGAGCTTACTCGATGTCAAGCTAATTACGGTGTCGTCGCTAAAGGATTGCGTCAGGGTCTGAAGCACGGGCGCGAGAATCTGCAGCAACAACGTATGGGACCGCACACCGATATTCTCAGAAAGAAGCGAGTACGATTCAACTCAAAACTTCCTCATGCAATAGAAACAGAAGCAACAAGGGAAAACAGAGTAAGCCCTAGTTTTACATCGTCTGCAACGCAGAGGAAGTTGACGACCATCAGTATCGTGCCGGCCGCCACTACCGCGCAAGTGGAAAGGCTGCCACGAACTGAGCGCTTTCCAAAACGGCGGAAAGCAGCTATGTAATGTGATTTCGAGAATATGAGGGGCTCATATAGCTGCTGTGAAATTCGCCTTCAGCCAGGAAAAAACACCACGCCAAGCTGGTAGACACACATATGGTAGATCTGTATAGAGTTTGTGCACGGTCACTGTCATACGGTTCCCGGCTTGAGCCATGAGCATCTTACCCTCAGAACACCAAAAACAATAATTGCGCTTTGAAGGACCTGACGTGCAGCTGAGGCACAAAAACACGCATATGCATACCTTTTAATTCTCCATGAGACAGAAGTGTTGGGCGAACAGAAAAGCACAGACCTGTTGCATATCCAGCGGTAGTTATGCAGAGAAAAAGGCACAATAGGAGGAAGAAAAATCAAAGGCTTAGCTCTCTCTGTATGGGCGATCGGCAGTGTCTATACACCTCGCGGTGCCGGTCGAAGTGACCAGCGAAGGGCGTAGCCTAGGGGGAGGGAGACAACGTCGAAAATAACTAAGGTAGACGCCGCGAGCGATCTTTTGACAATCATACGGTAAACCAGCAAGAAAATCAAAATGCAGCTTAAGTGCTGCGTCAGAACGACCGTAGACTTGCACAGGTCTGAGTACATGTACCGCGTCAAGTTCGCGTTCCTCATGAGAGTATTCAAGAAGGTTTCGTCGACGTAACAATCCGGATGCGGCTGCTTCTTCCAGAGAATCTTTTGCCATTTTCCAAAATGTGCTGAAGTGGCGTGTTCCCTTTCTGTAGTGACTGAAACAGAACCTCGGCAGCAGCAGCAACGTCCGCTACCCCGCTGCCCTGCATCGTTTTCCCTTCCCCTCGTCGTTTCAAGAGGAACAGGAAAGTGTGAGCCTAGAGCCTTACAGTGATGCTGGTCTGCTGAATGGCAACAGCGACGCATGCAGGCGTTGACACTTCGCCTGCCGTTTTTGCTGCAGCGCAGATACTGTGCTGCGTGACCCCGTGAAATAAGCACTTCCGCCGGCCCTTGTGCAGGACTCAGTTGCTCGTTCTTGTCAGCTGCTTCTGTGGAGAAGTCCTCTGCTTGCTGCTGCTGCAGCGCATGCAGCAACTTGCCGTTCGCCTCGGCAGCGCGAGGAGAGCCACAGCACGGAGAAGACGAGCCCCCCGAGCCACGGGTATCTGCACTGGATGTGCATTCTTGCCGATCTGCAAACAGGCCGACCTCTTCAGAGGCGGAGTCGGAGTGCTGAGGGTTTAACGGCATCAGAAAGTATAGGACGAGGACGCTGCACGCCGCCCACCCATGACGCGCCGCCTCTAAGCAGAAAAACTAAATAAAAGGACGCAGCAAGCAGCCCCCATGCATTCTTATTACATTGAACTACAGAAAATACTCTAAACAAGGCAGTTCTGCATGGCATGCACCGCTGCCGACCCGATCTTACGTTCCATCACAAACGCGGGGGGCCCCGGTCGGTGCTGTGGTGCGTGTGGTCGCCTTGCAACTTCGTTAGCCTCAGCTCTTTCCTGCTGCAATAGCAAATAGTTTTATGTCTCACTTGTATTTATGAGAAGGGTTACTGTAGAGGCAAGCAATAGCAAACACCAGATCCGACGTGGATTGATTGTGGCTGCTTTGGCTGTTAGAACCTCTCCTCTAACAATATATGCATGCATGCTGCAGAAAACACCACCTCTGCTATTTTAATGTGTTGTTGCTACTGCTGCATCAGAAAGGAAAGACGCTCAGAGGAGGACGCACATGGAGCAGCATTGACACCAACCGTACACCAGCAACCAGCTTCCGATGTGAACTGCACGAAGTTGTGTTGTATGCATTTTAACCGAACAAAAAGAACAGTTGCAGGCTACTCACAGTATAATCGGGCCTGTTGTCATTGTCCTGCAGAAGACTGGTAAAAACTTGCCATCCCGTTGAGGGGTTTGTGCCTTCATCGCACTTCTCCATTGTCTCCCAATGTAGAGTGTCTGTTCACTTCAGCTTCTCCTAATTGTAAGCACAGGCGCGAGTCAGAACTCACGGGAGTAGTGTAAGTAGGGAGGCGTCTTCTACCGCTTCTCTACACTACTTCTGTGAGTTCTGACTCCCTACTGTGTGGAGGCGCGTGTCAGCTACCCTGGATGTTTCTGCGTCTACTTTTCGCGTGCATCTTCGCATGCGTCATCTCAACACGGGCAAACACCAACCGAAAAGCGGCGCCTTTGTAGGGGCACCGGCAACAACCCCAACAGTAATGGTAGTAACAGCAGCTGAGCGTGCTGATGCCGCAGCAGAGAACGTTCTAGGATGGCGTAGGCCTACGACAATTAAGCACCAACCAGAGAACCTGGAGGAGGAATGGCTGGGCCGCTATTAAAGTTACAGCAGCAGCAACCGCTGCAACAACAAATACTGCAGCACTCTTCGCTGCAGCAGCAACCGCGGCAAAAGCAACCGCAGCAACAGCGACCGCTGCAAAATTGTATGACCTGCATATGGTCCAGAAGTGCAATGAAATGCATGCGCTGCGCCACCGAAGCGCTGAACCCAAAGTTATAGTTCACAACCCAAGCAGCAATGGCAGCAGCTGCTGCTGCACACCGCCGCAATCGGAAGGGCCCTCAGTGCCTCTCCTGACTACTGGTTACATGCGAGGTGCGTCTCCGCCATTTCTGCAGCTACCGTTGCAACATGAAACGTACTCTGGCCGTGCCTTCTCTGCACGGCGGCTTCAGGGGTTTTTGCTGATGCTGGCTATAGCGCTGCGTCCAAAGCAGTTCCAATGCCGACGGCAATCATAATGATGCCCGCTGCGAGGTTGAGAGTGAATTCGTTCACCCACCGCTGCAGCAGCAATCCCCCCATCACCCCTGCTGCAGTCACTAACGCGTGTCCTATACAACTTCCTGCGGCGACGCACACAGCAACTGAGCAGCAGCAGCAGCACCTGTGAGGCCACCGGGCCACTTTTTCTAGCCCGTGACAAGTGTCACTGGCAGATGTGGCACGACCACCAAGGAGGAGTACAAGCGTGTAGGGTGTGAGTTTAGGGCCTTCAGGAAGCCCTTTTTTCTACGGCAGCTTTTGCTGCTGCTGCTCCGTCTATTGGACTGATGAACCTACCAACGAAGACTCCCCAGGCGTTCTGTGCAGCGGCAAGGGAGACGGTGGTGAACATCGACTTGTCACCCCACTCCGCCACAAGGATCACAAAAAATACCTCCCGTAACACCGACCAAGACTCCGGTGCCAACCCCAAACGCGTGTACTGAGCAACAGCAGCGGCAGCATCAGCAGGGGCAGCATTCCTCAGAAAAGAAAGACTCTCGTTCACCCCGCGCAACACCTCTAGCATCAGCGGCAGGACAAGCAAAAGCACGACGAGAAGCACCAGCAGCAGGGATAGCACCGACAGAAGGGAAAGCAGCAACGGCACAGGTAGCGGCAGCAGCACTGTCCTTCCCTACAAAGAGTCTATCAACGTCTTCTTGCGCTTCTTCCAGCTGTTCGCATATTTCCTCCCCCTCTCCAAAGTCGTCAGCCGGTGAGAGTCGCGTGGAAACAGAGGCGTCGTCAGGGCCCCCTCCCTTGGGGGCTCCCGGGGTGAAGGTGCTCGTCTCTTCCCTGCTGCCGCCGCTGCATCTCTCTTCTGCTGAGATGATCCCTTCTGCAGCAGCTGTTGTAGGCGGCACAGCCTCAAGGGGCACTCCTGGCGAGTCAAGGGCCCCCTGGGGTACCCGCTGCGAAGGGCCTTGCAGGGAGACCCTATGGGAGGACGAGCCCCTGAGGGGCGTCCTGTGAGCAAGTAGGGCTGCCCTGGCCTTATAAAGGTGCCAAAGGCCGAACAGCAGCAGCGCAGCAGCGGAGGCGAACCCCACGATTGCGCCTCCCCGCAGAAGAGCCCTGATGGGGGAGGGAATTAGAGGGATAGAAGCAGCGTGCTGCAGGCAGTAGCCCGCAGCAGAAGAAACTGCTGATGCCAAAAATAAAGCAGCGCATGTAGCGCCAAACACCAGCAACCGACTGTAGCGCAGAGCCAACAACGCCGCCAGGAAGAATGTTCGATCCCCCAACTCTGTAGCAGCAACTAAAGAAGAGCTCGAAGCAACGGAATTCACGAACTGCCAGAAAAAAGAAAAGACACCCTCTTCCTGTCGAGGCTGCTGTTTCTCCTGCTGCTGCTGCTCTTTTGTGGTGGGGGGCTGTGGAACTGCGATTCCCGCGTGCTGCCTCCACCCCTTGGCCTGCGGGGCCCCCTTGCGCACCTTGACAATGCGCGGGCCTCCGGTGCCCCTCTTGCTGAAGTGTTCCGTTGCTGCAGCTGGTGCAGCATCTGCTTCACTGCCCTTTCCCGCATGGTCGTCAGGTCCCCCCCATCCGAAAAGCTTCTGAAAGAATGCCGTCAGTTGGGGTTCGGAATCGGGCTTGCTGCCTTCTTCGAGGGCCTCTAGCCTTCGGCGTTCTATGCCCGATTGATGCATCATCTGTGTGTACACCCCGCAGCCCAAGAAGGTCCCCAGGCGGCCCCTGCAAAGCGGAGAGGAGGCGCCCAGCCCCTGCAGCAGCCAGGCTCCCCCGGTCAGCATTACTGCTGAAGACTGTATTGAGTCGCAACGATGGAAGTACTCAGGGGCAACATGAATATGAGCCGATGCAGAGAGAGGGGCCAGGGGTCCTCCCTCCCACCATGAAAGCGACAGCATCATCAACAGATGATGCGCCTGCAGCAACAGCAAGAAGCGAGAAACACCACCGGGCATTGACGGCCTTGTAGGCCGCCAGTATATGCTCTCCCTCATTTTTCTTGCTGCTGCTGCTGCTGTTCTGTCTGTGGTCTATTCCGCGGTTGTTAGCCCAACGACGTCCTACGGCTGCTGCCTGCGGCTCTGTGTCACTGATTGATCTCCTGCTGCTGCTGTTGGGGCTGCTGAGGCCAATATCCCGTTAGTATTCACACAATAACAACGCAAAGTGATTGCTATTCTCCTCGGTGGAAACGCGGAGGCGCCCGAACCGGTGAGACGCCAACACGCCGATATGCCCAAAGAGATTGACCTTGCATACACCTCAAATAGCAGGCATCCACTTCAACTATCTTAACGAACAAAGCCTTGAGTTGCTAGAAGGTCGATAAGAAGGTAGAGGGGGTGCAGGGAGGTGCAGGCCGCAGGCCGCTTTGACCGTAAACCCCGGACCCTCGAGTTTGCTCCGCTGTGGCCTGCAGCGGGATGTTACGGTGGTTCTAACTCTATATGATTAGATTAGCACGAAGAATAAAAAATAAATCAACAGGAGCAGTTGTAGATAAAATAATGGTGAGAGACCTCCCGTAGCTTCTCCCCAGTTGGCACGAGGAGGGGCCCCCCCCTCCCCCGACAACCCACCCACCACGACCATCCTCTCTGCCA